TGTTTTTAGCTTTAACTTTGTTCATTATTAATGAACGTACTATTTCTAATATTAAATAATATATTTATATATAATTTTCTTACTGTATAAGTTAGCTGATTTTTGTTATTCTGGCTTCGTATTTAATTATATTATTAAGTGCGGTCTTTCATTTAAAGCATAAGTAGTTTCTAATGTAATTGTAGACTGGTTTAAGAAACAAAATCCACAGAGAATTCTTCATTTAATCTTTCCACTCAATAAATTTATGGAGCATTCTTTGTTTTTAAAATTTCATATTGAACAATTCTATAATTAAATTAAAACTTTTTTAAATTATGAAACTACTTTTCAAATTTAAACCATTGAATAATTAAACTTTAAAACATTTGAGTAGAAAGAGCAAAAAAAAAAAAATTTTTTTTTAATAAGTTTAACAGTTATTTCATTTAATTAAATCATTTTCTTCTATGGAAAATAATTCGTTCTAATGAAACTAAGAGATTGGAATCGCATTTTACTTATAAAAATTTTTATAATAAAAGCAAAAAAATTATTATTATTATTTTTTTTATATATTTACGTTATTAAATTTGATTTAAAATATATGCTAATATTTGTTTATGTTTAAAACATTCGAAGGAAAAGTCTTAAATGATTATATGAAGTGATATAAATTTCTACTTGGAGAAATTTATTGTGAAGACATAGAAGAAATGAAGATGTTGAATAACTGTAAATAAACTTGTTTACAAAGCTTTAAACTCGATTTTTTTTATAAAAAAATCCAGTAAACATAAACATTCTTTTAAATCAGTAAGAACATTATTAAACTTCTAGTTCCAAAATTTCATTTCCGAAATTTCCATTAAGCTCAAAAATAATTTTACATTGAGTGGAAAAGTGTAGAAAATAAATAATTTTTGAACAATTTTCTGATTGAGTTGAATATATTATACATTCAATATATCTTTTTTTTTTTCAAAAAAATAAAATGGTATTTGTTGTGTTTCAACTTTAACTTTTCCGTATGAATGCATTTTTTTGTATTAGTCTAATGAAAAAGTGGATAATTTAAAACAAAAGCCAAGCAATAAATAAAGATTTCTAAAGAGAACTTGTTCCCAATTTTTCAGAATAGTTTATATATAATTAAATTTTTATTTTAATTACTTTTATTATGCTCATCAATATGAATTAATAAAGTTTTAGATTTAAAAAAAATGTTTTTTATTATAAATTTCCTTGTTTAATTGGGTGTATCAATATTATTCAAGTTGTTAAATAATTTGTAAGGCCTATGTATAACCGTGTTCAAGTGTTCAGTGTTCATCGAGAGCATAACAATGGCGTAATAACATCACTAGATATTATTAATTCATGAGAGAATGTTAATATTGACTGTTCACCATCCATCTGTAATCATCTGACAATGTTTCTGATGTTAATGAAATAAGTCTGAGTCAAAATCCCAACAGCAAGTAGTCTTCTGCATGACTTCGTATCCTTTCACGCTTTCTGGCTAAATCGATTTTGGTCGAGTGTCGGACGAGAATAAAATGTTTCAAATCTTAGCTGTTTATTATGTTATGAATATAGGCTATCATTTAATTATAGCAAATAAATTGCTTTATAATTTGACATGATACAATTATTGCATTTTCCATCTTCCACCTCCTGATTGAACTTGCATTGATTTGGTTTAATTTATAGTTTGCTGACTCTAAATTGAACTAAATCCGTTCGAAAATACGAATTTTGTGTGTTTTCTAAATCCTTTTAATTGTGCGATAGTTGATGTTAATTTTAATTGTGAATAACATTTTCCTAATCCTTAATCGATTGGATCGAATCGCATGTTTTACGACATTTAATTAATAATCATCGCATCTTAATTAAATAAGCTTATAAATTTAACAGAAAATTAAAAATAGCGTATTTAGCAGAATATAATTTCAAAATACTGCTCTTAAAGTATTGTTTTTGCACGTTTAATTTTACAATTTTTATCATTGCTAATTCGCATCATTGACTGAATATACATGCCAGTAGGAACATTATAAAGATTTTAAATTAAGATTTAAGACGTGATAAGTGTAATATCCGAATATATTCAATCATTCGAAGGACCATAAAGAATAATATTTAAAGATTGGAATATATGTATATATATATAACAATTAATTTCGTTAATATAAAATATTTTTCCTCTTAACCTATTTCATTCATCAGATAATGTCTGCTTATAAATCTCGTCACAAATCTCGATAAATGACTGGACATTAAAGTCACACTTTAATGTCCAGTCATTTATCTCGTCACAAATCTCGATAAATGACTGGACATTAAAGTCACCATCATAATTACTGTACATGTACATAAAAAAAAACTTAATCAATACAATGATAATTACAAATTGTCATTTGTGAAAAGTGATTTGTGAAGGGAGTGCTACGATAAATATAATCTCAGATAATTGTACTTTCCCCTTCATTTCCATTTATCGATAAGTGAAATTTTTCTTTTTCTTCATTTTTTTTCTATAACTTTGATTTTAATTAATTAATTTACCAAAACATTTCTTATTTGACAAAAATGAATAAAATGGCGCGTTCAGTCCCGTTTCTACTTTTTTTTTTTCCTCCCAATTAACAACGTATAAAAACCTTTAATAATTTTTTACTATGTTATACAATAGCTCTACTTTCACATTTTTTTTCGCTTAAATAATTATTTAATTTACCAAAAGATGAATATCGCAATCGGCTGAACGAATAGCCGAGAATTTGAGGTGCTCTGAATGAACTGGGTTCTAATCCGTGAGAACAATTCATAGGAATTTTTCGGTGGTGATATGTTCTGCGTATGTGAGCCCATCCCGCGCCACACAACAGCTCTATTGTGGGCCTTACTAAACCCATAATATCAATAGATATGATTAAAAAACCCTGTTAGTGCCCACAAGACAGAAAGAGGGAATAACATAAGTATATTTAAAATATTTACTTTGCGTACATGAAAACATTTTAAATCAGTAATTTGTTTACTATGTTAAACTTATGTTAAAACTTGAACTTTTCAAATATATAAATTTATATGTAACTAATACTATAATTTATTTTTCGATTTAAATACATTTACATTTAAGTATTTTCTAATTAGCTTAATTTACGTTACTTATTGAAAATACTCACAACATTCTTCATCTTCTCTTTATTTGTAAGTTGTGCTAGTTGAAGCGCATCTTATATATGATGTGAAGTTACCTTAAATTTAATAACCAATAACCTGCGTTCTTTCAACTCAGTTACTAGAACATTCATTTTTTTTGGCATGTTGCAATAACCTTAAAGTGTCATATTTTATTTCCATTCAATAAGAAATCGTCAGGAAATTTCTAAGAAGCAGTGTTTTTTTTTTATTTCTTTAATTTAATGTCGTGTTTGCTATTTTAAAAAGTTTATTTACATTGGTTCCTGCAAAAAGACAACTTTTTTAACTTTTTGTATATATATTTTTTTATATAAATTATGTAGTCCAGATAATTTTATAGTATTTCAAACATGGCTAAAATCATTAGATATAATATAAACTATTCAATTATTATTACATTGTATTTATACCCCGCTCCATTAGTGATAATGATCTTATCATTAGTAGATAACATAAGAGATGTTATATATAATTATGAAAAAGTAGGTTAGTACTATTTTATGAGGTCAAAACTAAATAGATCAGTTAACTGGAAGGAAACGTTGTGATAAAGATTGAGCCTGTAATAAATTAGATTTTTCTTTAAATAAATGAATAAAAACTTAATTTATTTAATAAATAAATAAATTTAATGCTTTATATTTATATATTCATATTAGTATCAACTAGCCTGATATANATTTTATTTAAAAATGTACTTAAAAATATTTACTTTAATTTTTTTTTCTTTTTTTTTTTTATATACATAGAAGTTAAAGGCTATAATTCACGTTTGGATGTTTTATGAAAAATTTATGCATTAGTAATTTTAATATTAAAAAAAAATTTAAAAACAAATAAAAATTTCAAAGTGTTTAATAATAATATATATATATGCTTTTTCATCCATGAAAGTTTTCTGTATTTAATGACAGTCTTTTCCTATGTAATAAGTACAAAATTATACTGGTTTTGTCTTTATATTCCTCATTATATAATTTGATTGTATTATATCTATAAATTTCATTTAATCGTAAATAAAATATATAAAATAAATGGAATTCGCTGTAAATTTCATCAATGAAAGAATGTTTATTTCTTTTGTAAAATAAAAATAAAAATAAAAAAAACCAAAGAAAGAAATTTCATTTGTAAAAATTCTTGTAAGGAAAAGGAGTTAAATTAAACGGAAATTACACAAATAAAAAGAAATTTCTCATTCGTGAAATAGTTTAAAATTTTAAGTGAAATTTTATCAGTAATAAATTTTATTTATTTATTTATTTATTCAATATAAAATTAACGTTAAATTATATTAAATATAACTCAGCATACATACTGTATAATATTTATCAGGAAGGATTTCATGTATAACTTTTAATACCAGCTTGAAATAAGTAATTCATTGTTTCCATTTTATAAAATGTATACACATTATATACACTGGTTATAACGAGTAAATTTCTTTCTAGTCCAGTAATGTATTATAATGTTAAATGTCCTTAAACGTATCCGGATTTCTTGTAATGTGTACTTCTTTCATTGTTAACACAATTGAGGATAATAAAAGGGATTTAAAGATAACTTATGTCGTGTCCAAAATAATGCTATTACTTAAGTCTTCCAATGTCATTTATGACGTAAGCATCCCTATGTATTAGTTTAAAAATCATTCATATATTTATGTATCTAGAGGTAGGCGGTGTGTCTGTACGACGATATATTTTTTTAATATAAAAAAACAGAATTTTAAAGTCGAAATAATTATTTTTCTGTTAAATAAGTTAAATTTATTAAATATTTAATAAACTTTTTTTTTATTTGTTTAGGGGATTTGGTTTTGTTACGTTTGCAGACCCTTCCAGTGTAGATAAAGTATTAGCCACTGGACCACATGAATTAGATGGAAAAAAGGTACTTATATTTTATATGTTTTTTTTACTATTAAATATTATTATATATTAAAAATTAAATCAAAAAATTTCCATTTAAGTTAGTAGAAAATCGACATTTTTAATCAGACTAAAAAATTAAGTAAATAACCAAGTCGTTATAATTTTATTAAATCTAAAAAGTAAATGAGATAATTTCTAATAAAATTAAACAATTTATTTATTTTATATATAATAATTTTAAGAGAAAATTATTTACAGAAAATTTTTTCAATTTTTTTTTTTTTCCTCTTTCTTTTTATGAAAATTAAAACATCTGCGATTCACACAATTATGACTCGCATTTAGTTTAACTAAAATATGAACTAGACAAGTCGCTAGCACCGTAGCATGGGTAGTTGGCCTTATGCAGTAAATAGACCTATTTGTATAAAGTATTGGTATTCACATTCTGTATACGTGCACGCTATACAATTCTTGGAAATCCGCACACAACATGAGATCTACTTTACTTTTTTTCCGAAAGAAAAAATTCGAATGCTTTTTAGATGGAAACAATTCGTATTTTTCTAAACTGATTTTTAAACATATTTTTAAAACGGGATAAAAAAATAAATTTTTATCGTGGTGAAATTCCATTTTTGACGCTTTTTTTTTATTGCATAAAAAGAAATTGCTCGTCTGTTAGCTCTAAAAGTCTACTTTCCTCTAAAAGAATTTATTTCTANAAATATAACTCAGCATACATACTGTATAATATTTATCAGGAAGGATTTCATGTATAACTTTTAATACCAGCTTGAAATAAGTAATTCATTGTTTCCATTTTATAAAATGTATACACATTATATACACTGGTTATAACGAGTAAATTTCTTTCTAGTCCAGTAATGTATTATAATGTTAAATGTCCTTAAACGTATCCGGATTTCTTGTAATGTGTACTTCTTTCATTGTTAACACAATTGAGGATAATAAAAGGGATTTAAAGATAACTTATGTCGTGTCCAAAATAATGCTATTACTTAAGTCTTCCAATGTCATTTATGACGTAAGCATCCCTATGTATTAGTTTAAAAATCATTCATATATTTATGTATCTAGAGGTAGGCGGTGTGTCTGTACGACGATATATTTTTTTAATATAAAAAAACAGAATTTTAAAGTCGAAATAATTATTTTTCTGTTAAATAAGTTAAATTTATTAAATATTTAATAAACTTTTTTTTTATTTGTTTAGGGGATTTGGTTTTGTTACGTTTGCAGACCCTTCCAGTGTAGATAAAGTATTAGCCACTGGACCACATGAATTAGATGGAAAAAAGGTACTTATATTTTATATGTTTTTTTTACTATTAAATATTATTATATATTAAAAATTAAATCGAAAAATTTCCATTTAAGTTAGTAGAAAATCGACATTTTTAATCAGACTAAAAAATTAAGTAAATAACCAAGTCGTTATAATTTTATTAAATCTAAAAAGTAAATGAGATAATTTCTAATAAAATTAAACAATTTATTTATTTTATATATAATAATTTTAAGAGAAAATTATTTACAGAAAATTTTTTCAATTTTTTTTTTTTTCCTCTTTCTTTTTATGAAAATTAAAACATCTGCGATTCACACAATTATGACTCGCATTTAGTTTAACTAAAATATGAACTAGACAAGTCGCTAGCACCGTAGCATGGGTAGTTGGCCTTATGCAGTAAATAGACCTATTTGTATAAAGTATTGGTATTCACATTCTGTATACGTGCACGCTATACAATTCTTGGAAATCCGCACACAACATGAGATCTACTTTACTTTTTTTCCGAAAGAAAAAATTCGAATGCTTTTTAGATGGAAACAATTCGTATTTTTCTAAACTGATTTTTAAACATATTTTTAAAACGGGATAAAAAAATAAATTTTTATCGTGGTGAAATTCCATTTTTGACGCTTTTTTTTATTGCATAAAAAGAAATTGCTCGTCTGTTAGCTCTAAAAGTCTACTTTCCTCTAAAAGAATTTATTTCTATCAAATTATAAATTAAAAATTAATTGCTTTTTATATACCTAACGAATGCGTTTACATGAATTACTAAGCATTTAACAAATTTTTTATCGTATTCTTTCACGATATATAAATTTTTTATTATAAACATTGAGGAAATCATTTTAAAAAGTAATTATTTGTTCTAGATATTTTATATTATATATATTACGAATATTCTCATTATCCAGTAAACTCAGTTACACTGTTTGAATTTAGAAACACGTTTTAGGTGAAAGAGTATAAATTTTGACCATTTCCCAATTTCAATGGTTATATCATGTGACATAGAGCCAATTGATGAACCCCACATATCTCATGGTCCGGTTTTGAATGAACATTTATTGGAATGTTTATTGAGTAAAATTGAGTTCCTTCTAGGAAAATATTTAGTCTTATGATCGATCCTAAGCCCGCTGAGAAGTTAAGTGGGAGCCCAGAGAGACCACGAAGGGATGATTTCAATGTGTCAGAATATATCCTTCCTCTTTCTTTTTTCTCTTAAATCTACGAGTGAGGAGAAGGATCATTTTCATTTAAAGAAACTAAGGGGACATTTTCTCTCGGCAAAGATGTTAAGATTTATCCTTCTTATCATCACGGAGACTGACTTCTTGTTTTAGATTTCCCTAAAGGGATACTAGTAATGGTAAGAGAGAGAGAGAGAAGTTTTGAGAAATTCCACAATTAATGAAGGCCTATAAATTGCAATTAAATAGTCTAGATCTAAAACCCAGAGTGCCTATTAACTCTCCAATTCTCCCTGCAGGGAGGCCCTTCCACTTCAATGATTATTTATTCCACATTTCGAATTATTGAATCGATAAGAAAAGTCGAACACTACCAACTGCGCTTTGTTCCCCCGTACAGGGGAAAGCTGTCCTTTTCCTGTCGTTCACCCTCCCCGCTCGTATTAGTAAGGATTAAAACAAACACTCCACCATATCAACAACATTTACGTTTTAAAAATGCATTAATTGTAAAAATAAAACGTAAAAAAAATCATCATTCTTAGCTATTATTTAGCATTTAAATCAATTCGGGGATGAGAAATATCTTGTCAGTGAGCGTAACCCCATTTATCTTTTAAAACTGAATGAGTTTGTCCATATCTCTGAGCGGGATACAAAAAGAGGATATAACTTTAATGTTATACATACTTTTGCATATGAAACTTGAATTTCAAAAGGGGTGGAAGGTTTTTCGTCAAAGACAGACACTTCGACCCGCTCCGTTACCATAGTAACTCGACTCATCGGAAGGAAAAGAAGATTAAAATATATATATATATATAAAAAACAAGTTATTGGAAATGAATCAGTTAACTGCTCGAAGTAGATTGTGTAATTACTGACTAATTTATCTTAGCTCAGTAAACTATGTGTCACAAAAATGTGTGTTTACCTAATTGATTAACTCTCGCCATTTTTACGGTGTATTTCTTGTTCGATACAATATCTGAATATTTAATACGTTTTTTTAACGATTGGTTAAGTACACAATGATCTAGTTAAATATAACTATATGCTTGGATGTAGTCGACTGTGTGTGTGTGTGTGTGTGTGTGTCTGTACTGTACCTGAACCATGGCAGACCTGGTGCGTGGCTACATGATATAAATATTTTAGCTATTTATATGAAAATTTCGTCTCTGAGCATCTTGATCTTAAAACACTTATTCATTTTCGCCATCTTGAACATTTTAGTGCAAAAATTTTCTGTATTTTGCACGTTAAACAATTAGCTTATATTCTAATATATGCATAACTAAAGTATATACTTATAAGTTATTCTAGACAATAAACTGGATAATTTTTCTTTTCAAAAATACACTTTAAAAAATAAAAATGATGTAAATATTCCATTTAAAGTCAAGTAGGTTGGAAGCAAAGAATTATTTAACAATTTTTTTTTTCCTCTTCGCAAACTTGAATATGTAAGTATTTTACTGAACAACAGTAAAGTATTTGAATATGCAAGTATTTTAATAAAAGAATATCCTTTAAAAATGTTAAAGTATCGTTGTTCTAAAATTAATTGTAAATTTAAAAATCTACAAATTTCGATGGTATTAGTTAAATTGAAATGAATGATAATTCAAAATTATTTTAATGCATCTAATTAATCACTTAAGTTCTTAAAAATCACAAAATTAAATTTATCAATTTTTCTAAAATCTCCAAGTTGAGCTTTAAGATCATTTATAAATCTTTTCATGTCTCTCTTTAGTTGTTTAGTGATCATAATTAAGTTTATGAAGTATAAACTTCATTTAGCATCTAATTTAGAATAAATTAAGGAAATTGGGTTCAGTGTTTCATAATAACTTTCCAAAATGTCACCTATTAAAATTGTCTATAAGCCTAGTATTAACAATATGTTGTTATATTTATTTAATTAAAAAATGAGTAAAATTTATCAATTTTTCGATAACACCAGCAATTTTTGCCATCTGGACAGTGGAAATTTGAATATAAATATTCTACTTTTGAAAGTTTAGAATAGCCAATATTTTAGAATAGGTCTTGGTTGACTTTATTAAATTTTTAAATAGATTTTTATAATGTAAAGCTTTAACAATCTGTTGAAATTCATACTTAAAATTTCGAAATATTAAGCTAGATTATTTTTGACAAGTAACACGTTATAACATTTAAATGTAGGAAGGCGATCTAATTATTTTAAAATGAAAATCGTTGCTTCAATGAAAGATATCGAAGATCAAGACCGCAAAAGATAATAGAAAAATTATATTAAAAAAGCTTTAATTTAGTAAATAAAATTAATATTATAAAATAAGCCTATAAATGCCTTTAAAAACGATCCACGAATGTAATTTTTCGGTAGACCTAAACACGTTAAAATTATAATTGAAATTGAAATTTTCACATTTACTTAACTAATGAATGGTTTTATATTTAAATAGTGTAATTATTTATAAAATATAAATAAGAGTAAATTTAATTCATAATTAGATAACTGCTATGTGCACGTATGTTACTTATTTACTTACGTGCCAATTTTATTTCCAACTTCCTTTAAGTTAAAAATTTTAAATTTGGCAGAAACATAAGTTTTATTGCATAATTAACAAAAAATTTGAAAATCAAACTTCTTTTTCTTTTTTATTTTTGTAAAAATTTAATTTAATTTTTACTTTTTTTTTTTTTGAAGGGACGAATGTAATAAGATGAGAATCATTTGTTCTTATATTTTCGATTTAAAGATTTAAAGAGAGAAAGAGAGAGAGAGATAAAAAAATGCAGATAATTTCTTTATTTCTATATTTAAATCGCTGACCTTTTTCGAAAAAAGTACACAGAAACGTTCGGAAATAACAGTAAAAGATCTTTATCCATTTAAAATTAATGAAATATCAATATTTTAATTTTCGAATAGATGATACAATTATGATTTTAATACAATTTAAAACGAATCCTTCCATAAAATTATATTTGTGTTTCATTGCAAATAACTTAACAGAAATGTTTATATTTAATTCCTAATTATTTCTAAATTAAAATCTTTATCTCTATAATATATTAAAGACTCTATATAAAAGCTTGTTAACCGTAATAATTTAATATATTATCATAAGTGGCTATAATATTGGCTAAATATTTTTAAGTGCATTTTGAAGTTTCTTTTTCATCCTTTCTTATTAAAAATAACAGCTACAAATAGACTCCTTTAATATCTCATTATAACTTAACGTGTAATCGCGTCATTGTAGCTTCGGTCAACATAAAATTAGATTTTTGAAAAACAGATTACTTTAACTACCTTAAACTATGTTCTAATTATAACATAGGAACTGTTTTCTATGACGTTGATCATTTTGTGTCGTAAAGAAATAACGTGTAGAAGTTGACTGGTGTATAAAGAAAAATATTATATATATATATAGCTTATATATAAGTCTAGTTTTATAGTGTTTTTTTCCCTTCTTTGTAGATTTCTCTTTATACTTTTCCATGTATCAACATGTTCAATTATGTTAAATCCGTTCTATCTACAAGTCTTTCTAATTAAATTACTAACTTACATCTGGTATAATAAATATAAACATATTAAATTAAAATAAGTAAAACTTTTATAATGTATACGTTTTTGAATGTTTTCCAAATTTATTTTTCTTTATAGATTGACCCTAAAGTGGCCTTTCCAAAACGTGCCCACCCGAAGGTAAGAAGAATTTATTATTATTATTTATTTCTTTTTTTTTCTTCCTGTTTATAATAAGTTTTCTTGCAGAAAATGATCTGCTGCATTATACTGGTTTCACTTTGCATATCGAAATGCTAATGATGCATATGATATAGCGCACGAATTGCTGAAGTAATGCCGAAAAGAATATTTTGAATACGGTCTAGATACTCTCTAATTAAAAAAAAAAAATACAATCTGCTGTAATTTTATATCCCACATTACACTGTTTGAACGAGTATTTAACTTAGAAGTATTTTTTTTCTTTTTTAATTTCTAAATTATTCAGGTTTTTAACTCGAAATGTTTAAATTTCAGCCGCTACTTCATTTATATGCAAAGATAATATAAGTTATTTTGTATTTTAAATACAAAAGATAAAGTGCTACAAGAGTAAATATTAAATTCGAAATAAATCTGTTTTCTTGTAATATTTTTAGATTAAAAAAAAATGGGGAGAGAGTATTATTTCGCATTATATCTATATGCGTACCGGCAACAATGCTGAAAGCATTAATTAGTGTCGATGATTCACTCGGGCAGTTGGGTAGTCAGGCTGTGTGTCTGTACAGAGTCTATCTTAATTTTAATAAAGTTTAGCATAATAAATATTAATAAAACGATAATGAAGTTTTTTAAATTCTGAACTATGAACATTATAAAAATATATATGAGTAAATTTATGAATTTTTCTTATTTGAATAATTTTATTTTAGATATTTTTTGCACGTTTAATTTTACAATTTTTATCATTGCTAATTCGCATCATTGACTGAATATACATGCCAGTAGGAACATTATAAAGATTTTAAATTAAGATTTAAGACGTGATAAGTGTAATATCCGAATATATTCAATCATTCGAAGGACCATAAAGAATAATATTTAAAGATTGGAATATATGTATATATATATAACAATTAATTTCGTTAATATAAAATATTTTTCCTCTTAACCTATTTCATTCATCAGATAATGTCTGCTTATAAATCTCGTCACAAATCTCGATAAATGACTGGACATTAAAGTCACCATCATAATTACTGTACATGTACATAAAAAAAAACTTAATCAATACAATGATAATTACAAATTGTCATTTGTGAAAAGTGATTTGTGAAGGGAGTGCTACGATAAATATAATCTCAGATAATTGTACTTTCCCCTTCATTTCCATTTATCGATAAGTGAAATTTTTCTTTTTCTTCATTTTTTTTCTATAACTTTGATTTTAATTAATTAATTTACCAAAACATTTCTTATTTGACAAAAATGAATAAAATGGCGCGTTTAGTCCCGTTTCTACTTTTTTTTTTCCTCCCAATTAACAACGTATAAAAACCTTTAATAATTTTTTACTATGTTATACAATAGCTCTACTTTCACATTTTTTTTCGCTTAAATAATTATTTAATTTACCAAAAGAATTATAAACTATTATTTCTTACCTTTAAAAATTATAAATATTTGCTTCTGTGTATGTATATATATATATATGTGTGTGTGTGTGTGTGTTGAATGTATAAAAATAGAAAAAAAAATAATAATAATAAATTTCATTAATAATTTTTATTGAGTAAATATGTAAATACAGGTTTCATTCATAATGTAAATAACATTTACTGCGTATGAGATAATAAACATAAAAATTCATTCATAAAAATATTATGTATTAATGAAATCGATAGCATTAAACGTTTTATTTAACCATTAAAAGGTGAATAAATAAAACAAAACGAAATTTTTATTCACAATTTTACTAATGATTTATATAAATAAATAAAATTTAAATTGTATATTTTATTTAAAAATGTACTTAAAAATATTTACTTTAATTTTTTTTTTCTTTTTTTTTTTTATATACATAGAAGTTAAAGGCTATAATTCACGTTTGGATGTTTTATGAAAAATTTATGCATTAGTAATTTTAATATTAAAAAAAAATTTAAAAATAAATAAAAATTTCAAAGTGTTTAATAATAATATATATATGCTTTTTCATCCATGAAAGTTTTCTGTATTTAATGACAGTCTTTTCCTATGTAATAAGTACAAAATTATACTGGTTTTGTCTTTATATTCCTCATTATATAATTTGATTGTATTATATCTATAAATTTCATTTAATCGTAAATAAAATATATAAAATAAATGGAATTCGCTGTAAATTTCATCAATGAAAGAATGTTTATTTCTTTTGTAAAATAAAAATAAAAATAAAAAAAACCAAAGAAAGAAATTTCATTTGTAAAAATTCTTGTAAGGAAAAGGAGTTAAATTAAACGGAAATTACACAAATAAAAAGAAATTTCTCATTCGTGAAATAGTTTAAAATTTTAAGTGAAATTTTATCAGTAATAAATTTTATTTATTTATTTATTTATTCAATATAAAATTAACGTTAAATTATATTAAATATAACTCAGCATACATACTGTATAATATTTATCAGGAAGGATTTCATGTATAACTTTTGATACCAGCTTGAAATAAGTAATTCATTGTTTCCATTTTATAAAATGTATACACATTATATACACTGGTTATAACGAGTAAATTTCTTTCTAGTCCAGTAATGTATTATAATGTTAAATGTCCTTAAACGTATCCGGATTTCTTGTAATGTGTACTTCTTTCATTGTTAACACAATTGAGGATAATAAAAGGGATTTAAAGATAACTTATGTCGTGTCCAAAATAATGCTATTACTTAAGTCTTCCAATGTCATTTATGACGTAAGCATCCCTATGTATTAGTTTAAAAATCATTCATATATTTATGTATCTAGAGGTAGGCGGTGTGTCTGTACGACGATATATTTTTTTAATATAAAAAAACAGAATTTTAAAGTCGAAATAATTATTTTTCTGTTAAATAAGTTAAATTTATTAAATATTTAATAAACTTTTTTTTTATTTGTTTAGGGGATTTGGTTTTGTTACGTTTGCAGACCCTTCCAGTGTAGATAAAGTATTAGCCACTGGACCACATGAATTAGATGGAAAAAAGGTACTTATATTTTATATGTTTTTTTTACTATTAAATATTATTATATATTAAAAATTAAATCGAAAAATTTCCATTTAAGTTAGTAGAAAATCGACATTTTTAATCAGACTAAAAAATTAAGTAAATAACCAAGTCGTTATAATTTTATTAAATCTAAAAAGTAAATGAGATAATTTCTAATAAAATTAAACAATTTATTTATTTTATATATAATAATTTTAAGAGAAAATTATTTACAGAAAATTTTTTCAATTTTTTTTTTTTTCCTCTTTCTTTTTATGAAAATTAAAACATCTGCGATTCACACAATTATGACTCGCATTTAGTTTAACTAAAATATGAACTAGACAAGTCGCTAGCACCGTAGCATGGGTAGTTGGCCTTATGCAGTAAATAGACCTATTTGTATAAAGTATTGGTATTCACATTCTGTATACGTGCACGCTATACAATTCTTGGAAATCCGCACACAACATGAGATCTACTTTACTTTTTTTCCGAAAGAAAAAATTCGAATGCTTTTTAGATGGAAACAATTCGTATTTTTCTAAACTGATTTTTAAACATATTTTTAAAACGGGATAAAAAAATAAATTTTTATCGTGGTGAAATTCCATTTTTGACGCTTTTTTTTATTGCATAAAAAGAAATTGCTCGTCTGTTAGCTCTAAAAGTCTACTTTCCTCTAAAAGAATTTATTTCTATCAAATTATAAATTAAAAATTAATTGCTTTTTATATACCTAACGAATGCGTTTACATGAATTACTAAGCATTTAACAAATTTTTTATCGTATTCTTTCACGATATATAAATTTTTTATTATAAACATTGAGGAAATCATTTTAAAAAGTAATTATTTGTTCTAGATATTTTATATTATATATATTACGAATATTCTCATTATCCAGTAAACTCAGTTACACTGTTTGAATTTAGAAACACGTTTTAGGTGAAAGAGTATAAATTTTGACCATTTCCCAATTTCAATGGTTATATCATGTGACATAGAGCCAATTGATGAACCCCACATATCTCATGGTCCGGTTTTGAATGAACATTTATTGGAATGTTTATTGAGTAAAATTGAGTTCCTTCTAGGAAAATATTTAGTCTTATGATCGATCCTAAGCCCGCTGAGAAGTTAAGTGGGAGCCCAGAGAGACCACGAAGGGATGATTTCAATGTGTCAGAATATATCCTTCCTCTTTCTTTTTTCTCTTAAATCTACGAGTGAGGAGAAGGATCATTTTCATTTAAAGAAACTAAGGGGACATTTTCTCTCGGCAAAGATGTTAAGATTTATCCTTCTTATCATCACGGAGACTGACTTCTTGTTTTAGATTTCCCTAAAGGGATACTAGTAATGGTAAGAGAGAGAGAGAGAAGTTTTGAGAAATTCCACAATTAATGAAGGCCTATAAATTGCAATTAAATAGTCTAGATCTAAAACCCAGAGTGCCTATTAACTCTCCAATTCTCCCTGCAGGGAGGCCCTTCCACTTCAATGATTATTTATTCCACATTTCGAATTATTGAATCGATAAGAAAAGTCGAACACTACCAACTGCGCTTTGTTCCCCCGTACAGGGGAAAGCTGTCCTTTTCCTGTCGTTCACCCTCCCCGCTCGTATTAGTAAGGATTAAAACAAACACTCCACCATATCAACAACATTTACGTTTTAAAAATGCATTAATTGTAAAAATAAAACGTAAAAAAAATCATCATTCTTAGCTATTATTTAGCATTTAAATCAATTCGGGGATGAGAAATATCTTGTCAGTGAGCGTAACCCCATTTATCTTTTAAAACTGAATGAGTTTGTCCATATCTCTGAGCGGGATACAAAAAGAGGATATAACTTTAATGTTATACATACTTTTGCATATGAAACTTGAATTTCAAAAGGGGTGGAAGGTTTTTCGTCAAAGACAGACACTTCGACCCGCTCCGTTACCATAGTAACTCG